GAGGAAACGGACAAAATCGGAAACTCTTGAAGGGCACTTGACGTGGGCACTACGAACCTAGACATACGTACATACCCATAGTTTCCTAGGTATGTATGTTTCCCCAGACATACATACATTCCTTTCACATACATACATACCTATAATTTTCTAGGTATGTATGTTTCCCCAGACATACGTACAATAATTTCCTGGGCATGTATGTTTCCCCAGACACACATACATTCCTTTCACATACATAAATACCTATAATTTTCTAGGTATGTATGTTTCCCCAGACATACATACAGACCTTTAACATACATACATGCCTATAATTTTCCAGGTATGTATGTTTCCCCAGACATACATACATACCTATAATTTCCTAGGCATGTATGTTTCCCCAGACATACATACATTCTTTGCACATACAAACATACCTATATTTTTCTAGGTATGTATGTTTCCCGTCAACATATATACATACATAAAATTAGATACCCATGCTTTCCAGGCTTTCCAGGTATGTATGTTATACATATATATATATCTCTCTCTCTCTCTCTCTCGATGCGAGCCCCTGCGCACGTCGACGACTGTGCAACGTATGTCTGGTAACCCATGAGTACCCCTGACTCGAATGCTGCGACGCCTAGGTCTGGGCAGGGCCGGGTATGTTTCCCCAGACATACGTACATTCCTTTCACATACACACATACCTATAATTTTCTAGGTATGTACGTTTCCCCAGACATTCAAACATACCTATAACAGACATACATACCCATAATTTTCTAGCTATGTATGAGACATTCATACATACCTATAACATACATACATACATACATACATACATACATACATACATCCCTACAATTTTCTAGGTATGTATGTTTTTTCCAGACATACATACATACCTTTAACATACATACATACATACCAGACAGACATACATACCTATAACATACATACATACCCATAATTTTCTGGGTATGTATGTTCCCCCGACATACATACATACATACCTTCAATTACATACCCATGCTTTCCAGGTTTTCCAGGTATGTATGCTATATGTATATATATCGATGCGAGCCCCTGCGCACGTCGACGACTGTGCAACGTATGTCTGGTAACCTTTGGGTACCCCTGACTCGAATGCTGCGACGCCTAGGCCTGGGCAGGGCCGGGTATGTTTCCCCAGACATACACACATTCCTTTCACATACATACATACCTATAATTTTCTAGGTATGTATGTTTCCCCAGACATTCCTACATACCTATAACAGACATACATACCTATAATTTTCTAGGTATGCATGTTTCCCCGGACATACATACATACTGGGTATGTATGACTCTTCTATGTCTCCCAGAAACATACATACCCGTGCTTTTGAGGTATGTACGTTTGGACCATACATACATACATACATACATACATACAGTACATACCTCTTCTTTTCTAGGTATGTATGTTTCCCCAGACATACATACATACATACATACATACCATACATACCTCTAATTTTCTAGGTATGTATGTTTCCCCGGACATACATACATACATACTGGGTATGTATGATTCCCAGGCATACATACCTACCGATAATTTTCTAGGTATGTATGTTTCCCGTAAACATACATACATGGCCATCATGTTCTAGGTATGAATGTTCCCCAGAAACATACATACCCCGGATTTTGAGGTATGTACGTTTGGACCATACATACATACATACCTAGATGGGGGGGGAGGCAGGGGATGCCTGCCAGATACCTACTAACCTCCGAAAACAAGGTATGTATAGTGAACTTCAGACAGATGGAATATTAAGGTGCATTAGGTAACACATAGAATAATTTTTAGAAGCTAACAGGTAGAATTGTTCAGTTTTTTGAAGCCAGCAGATAGAATATTCAGCATACCTCAGATTCACTGCGCTACCTTTTCCCACCCATGACATGTGTCTCTTCAACTTCTCATCCAAACCTATCCAACCAATATTCTAAGTGTTTCCCCAAAACGATATAGAATAATCACCTAATGCCCGGGGGGCATTAGGTAATATTCTAAGTGACTGCAGGCCACTATATGTTACCCCCCTGGGGTTCTTACTCGACGTGGGATAGGACTTGTCATGACTTTTCAGGTTGGCTTTATAATTCTTTTAGTGGACATATCAAGGAAACGGATAGAATCGGGAACTTTTGAAGGACATGTAACATGAGATAGGACTTTGCGCAAGATGCCATGGTTCGCCAATTTCGAAGGTCCCCGCAACACGGGCTTTGCTGGGTGCGTCGCTGGTGTGCAAGGTGCAAGCACCATGCAACCAACTCTTGCAGATCCTATCTCATGTGGCCAGCCAACCTCCAGCGAGCTTAGTGTAAAGATCCGAGCGAACGCTCCAATGTAGACATATTTAGACATATGTTGGGCTCTCAAGCGGCCCCAGACCACATGAGATAGGAAAGTTTACGGACACTTTTTTTCAATGTTTTGGGCACATGAGATGTGCCTGGCACATCAACCTGTGGGTGCGTTTCACTACTCTCATCTCATTGGCAACCAGTATATCTCAAGACCCTGGTCAACATGGAAACTCAAGTCAAAACTCAATAGACACATTATCAGCATCAACTACACCAGCATAGGCCCAGATAGCTAGGCAGAACCCCACGACCTGTTGACATGCGACTGGCTGGAACAAGAACGTACACAGCCTGCACAGCCAGCTTACAGCACCTCCACAGCGCGCACAACCAGCTGACACCAGCACCGGTGCGCTTTGCCAGCTGACAACACCGCCAGCGGCGCCAACACCCGACCAGCGCCGCTGCCCGTCTTAAACGAGCGCTCAGCCAGCTCACAGCACCAGCACCACAACACCAGCACCAGCACCGACACCCTTTCGAAAGCGCGTAGAGCCAACTCATGCTAATATGCAGCAAGAACCCCATAGCTATCCCTATTTGGGGAATAACAACAACAACGTATGATCTTGCGCGTATAAGTCTATGCGCACAAAAGTATGCGCGCAAACAGCAAAGCCCGCAAGTATTGACTTTTTGTAGCATGTTTGAAGCAACGATCTGTAGAACGATTAGGCCGTATGATCTTGCGCGTATGATGTTGCGTGCATAAGTTGATGTGGCTCATGACTGCTGGCACTTCATTGTCGGAAGCGGCGGTTGGCCGCCCTTCACTGCTACAAGCGGCGGCTTGTCACCCTTCGGCGGCTGTTATCAAGCTGGCACCAGCACCGAGCACCGGCACGCCAGCTCACGGCACCCAGCACCAGCACCCAGCACCAGCACCCGGCACCCTGTCTCCACCACCTGCACAGCCAGCTCACAGCACCAGCACCAGCACCTGCACCCGGCACCCAGCACCGGCACCCTGTCTCCGCCACGTGCACAGCCAGCTCACAGCACCAGCACCGGCAACCTGTCTCGAAAGCGCGCACAGGCAGCACATTGTTTTTTGAAGTAAGAACCCCACAGCTTCGCTATCTGGGGAAAAACATCTGACAATTCAAGCAAAACACTCGAAATCCGACAAAAATGCACGTTGAGGAGCACAAGGCATCCACCAGGTCGCAAAGCTCTCCAGGCACTTTGAAGAATCGCTTGCTGTCGGTCCACAAGCTCCTCTTTGTGTTGCGCTGGTCCTGTCCGCATGGTTCCAGCCGCCCGCAGCAATGAAGTCGCGTCCTTGCGAACGTTTCCCTCGCAAGTGCATGGGACATCAACAAGGACAGCATCGAAGGCCTCCGGCACAAGATCTGAAATGAAGCGCCCATCCATGGTACAAACAATGGAATTGGTCACGGCCATTCGGGTGAGTGATGCGTCCAGCTTTTTGGCCCGGGCTTCATCTGGCTCATTTGCAACGAGGAAGCCCATAGGTTCCATGCTCATGAGCCAACTGCCCAGCTGGGTGCTCTTGCTCCCCGGAGCAGCACACAAATCTAAAACGGTCAGAGAAGGTGGGTCCTTTAGCTCGGCCAGAGATTCTGTCATGACCAGTCGTAATAGCTCAGCAGGTAACATCGAGGTAGGCTCTTGAAAGTATAGCTCGCCAGTCAGCTGTGGCCTGCTCAATCCGGCAGGAGGTCTCCCCTGAATTAAAAAACCATTGCCAAGCCATGGTAGTGGACTTGTCTGCCACCCTTGCCGACGAAGGCGGTCAAGGACATCTTGCCTTGCTTTGAGTGGATTCACTCGAAACGCAATCGGAGATGCACGCGAACAGGACCTCACCATGCGTCGCAAGTCCAAGGCCTTCCCAGCCTCTGAGGGCAGCACCTCCCTCAAGAAGGAACGCGGTGCGAAAGGAGGGCGTCGAATTCGATCATCTCCGGTCTTCACCAGGCGCTCGTCGAGTAACCGGAAGGCTTCCTCCCATTTGTCAGCTTGCTCCAAGGCAGCTATCGCAGTCGAATATGTGAGAGAGTCCTTTTCCACTTTTTGAAGGTCCATCTGATCCAAGACTGCCAGGCCTGCTTCCCAGCTACACCTGCCCAGAATTGCATTGTAACAGGAATTGTTCAACCGGCCTTGATTCGTGGCACCCAGCAACCTAAGTGCCGATTGCCAGTGACCTGCATCACAGCAAGCTGAAATTGCCGCGCTTAGTGTGATTGAATCTGCCTGCTTGCGTCCTTGCATGGCATGCATCAATGAAAGCGAAGCCTCCCACTGCATGCCCAAACCATAAGCTGTAATCAAAGCATTGTAGGCAGGCGTGTCACATGGCATTCCTCCGGCCAAAGCTTGATCAAAAATGCGAGCTGCTTCCTGCCAACAAAACGCCCGCCCGCAAATAGCAACAGCTGCCGTGCAAACGAGACAGTCTGGCTGAATTTGCCTTCTGTCCATATCCTGGAGCAAATGCATGGCCAACTGCCACTCGTGCTCAAGACTTGAAAGGACCGTAGTATAAGTGATCTTGTCAACTGAAAACAATCCTTCTATCATATCTTGCATTAGGCACAGGGCGCGGGACCATTGCTTGCTGTTCGCACATCCTCGCAATGCAGAATTGAACGAAATCGCATCAGCCATCTGTAGAGCTCGCATGGTGGAGATCAGCTGAATTCCAATCTGCCACTGTTCCCCAGCACTGCAGGCAGCAAGGACTCCATTCAAGGTGAAGCTATCTGGAGACAAACTACCTTGCAGCATGGCCAGCAGCTGAAGGGCGGACTGCCAAGATGCAGCCCGGGCACAAGCATTGATTGCTTGGTTGTATACCACAATATCTTGCTGGATCTTTCGCTGCACCATCCTGGTGAGCATTCCCACAGCAGTCTGCCAATCGCTGGCTCGGCGAAAAGCATTCACTATTGTGCTGTAGTGAAAGGCAGTGATCTCACAATTCCGCCTCAAATCAATGTGATTAAGGGATTTTCAAGATCAACTTACGAGTACTATAGTCCACATCAAGGTTGCATATTATTTGGGTTGGTTGACTTGCATGTAGATTTCAGATCTGCCATCGACAGACATGGAAAAGAACCAACACTACGAGCAAAAGGGAAAAGAAACAAAAATGCATAGGGCATAGGGCAAAGAAAAATAGACGGGAAAAAAATGAAAAAAAAAAGTATAAAACATTGCAACGATTGGTTGCATTTTCCAAGGGCAAACCCAAAAAGGCGTCCTAAAGTGGTTCAAAGAACTCTTCCAAAGAGTGGAGCAAGCTCTTAGCTTCACTCGCTTTACCCTCTGACACAAGGCTTTTGAGCAATCCGTTGGCAGTCCTTGGTGCATTCAATATAATGTGATGCAATGACAGCTGCACGATAAGAACCGAGAAAACGACAAAAGTCAAAATTGTCAAAAGCACAGCATTGTGCTGCCATGCACAACACAGGCTTCCTGGCATCAGGAAGTGTTTGAATGCCGGAGCCATACATCAGTTTGAGGCCGCCAGGACGGCCTTAGAGCGTGGTTTAGGCCCATTCCATTCCTCATTGGCCACTTGCGATGGAACTTGAGGCCAGGTTTCTCAGGCGACAAAGCGATCTGTTACTCATGAATTGTGCCCATGTGACCCTTCTACAGGCTCTCTACAAACAAGGCTTCAAGCATGAAAGCTGCGGAATGAGCGTCGGATGGACATGACATGTCTGAACTTGTGCACGGTAAGACAAGCTTTCCCTCTGCCCACACAAAAGCTTTAAGCGGCGGCCTGCCTGTTGGCTGAGGTCGGCCAGCAAAAAGTTGAAGTCAAGACCTTGCTTTTCGGCCACTGAATAAATAATGTCCAATTGCTGGACCATCTTTTCCTGAGCACCCCGAAACCAGAAAGAACTGAACTGCTTTGCAGTGGAAGTTCAATGAGGTCTAAATAAACATACAGTTCGTTGTACATTACTTGTGCTGCCTCCTCCGTTAATGTATGTCAGGCCAGGAAGGGTTGGCCATTGCCAAGCCACAGTCGCATGAGGGTACCTTACACTGGATGACAAAACCGACACGACACATCCAAAAAAGTGTCGAAGACAGACTCCATGAAGGACATCTTGCTCGTACATATGGATCAGCTCTGGCCCAGGCACCAACCAGCAGGCCTATTCCCTGAGTATGGTCTATCTTTGGGATCTAGACCCAGCTCTTGGCGCTTTGTCCTGGGCAAGGCAAGCAGCCAACACCGTCTACATGAGGCTCAATCGAAACAGTCAAGCTGTTGTGCTTCCTTCAATGTGTCTGTGTGTGTGCGTGCTGGATCCCTACTTGCAAGAAGCTGCTGAGCTCAAGCAGTAGGTTGAGGTATGCCTCGTTTCATGCAACACCCATGTTTCCGCCTGAAGAGGGCCTCGGTGAACTTTGTGCAGGCACGCCGCCCGGAGCCTGACAAAAAGCAAAGTGAAGGTTAGCTCAAAAAAAGAAGGCTCACTGGTGCAAACATAACAAATAGACCTGGTCCAGGCTTCGATGCCCAGTGCTTTGTCGCAGCCACCAGTTGAGGATGCTCATCCTTACGTTAGGGTGTCGGCTTGGGGTGAGCAGCTGACAACCGGGTTGTCTGTTGCTCCACCACGCCAATTGTCGTCCAAGTGGCTGGGAACAAAAAATCATTGCCTTAGCTGTTCCCTCCTCTGATGGCCCCACTACCTAGTCTAGTCTTGACACCATTGGTGACTTCTCACCACCAAAAGTCAAACTCTGCAGAATAAAGGCCGAGGCTACAAGAACCCCTGGGCATGCGGCCAGCACACGCACTAAGCACCTGCAAAGCGGAAGTAAAACAGCACAATCACAAAAACGCACCGTCTGTATGAATCGCGAATCACGCTCGGTCAGGGATCTCATAGAGTCACAAATGAACGAGGAAGGAGCCCTTGGAACGGAGCATGCCTTTTGCCACCCGATGGTAAGAGCGAAAGGAGAAAGGAGCCACGGAAACGTGGCATAAGATTCCAACACCGCGGGTAAAATCTAGAGGGCAAGGACAGGTTGAAACGTCGTGCATTCCTTTTTTGAGCATAGGGAAGGAATGGAAATGCCTTTTGTGAGCCACCCGAGGCTCCAGGGTTAAATTTTGACGAGGAAGGAGGAGGAATACACCAGCATCAACCCCATCAATGATTATATAATGTGCCTTTTGCCAGCGAACCTTAAAAGTTTTTGCCGCCAGTTTAGAGAAACAGAATCATCTCAGCCCAGCATCTAGAATCTAGAAGAGCCACGGGAGACAAAAGGAGACGAAAGGCCAGAAATCACCTTGGCACAGGATAGTTTCTATGTAAGAATTGAGAACGCCTCACAGCAAAGCTTTCTTGGGAATTAGGAAGAAGTCATGGAAACGGAGCATACTTTTTTGCGAGCCACACGAGGGCAAAGCTTACAGGAGGAAGGAGCTCTAGCGTGTCTGAGGGAACTACATCTAAGTTCGCATCTTTTCAGGACACGCAGCTGGAATTCCCTTTAGGATGAAGAGCCTATATATACGTCAACAAAAACATATCAATAAAATTCAATAATTGCCAAACAAGTAAACGTGAGACACTGTTCATCCTGCGTGTTCTAGGAAGGCATCGCTCTTGGGGAGGATCCATCGATTCCCTGCGTTTTTTGCGCATTCTGAAGATTGAAGGCGGCTCTTCTCTTCCGCTCTTCATCCAGATCAGGGCCAGAGACACCGAATCACGGAACGAACCACACGCGGCTGGTGAAGAAGCGCGAATCACGAGTCACCCGGCTGGATAACAACTTCCGGATCACCAGTCCTGTTTGCAGGACCTAGTGACCTAGTGACCTAGTCCAATGCTCTTCTTTTTGGTATAACGTGCTTTCGAGCGCCTCAAAAACATGCTCCGCTGCAGCTTGACCTCCAGCATCATCCCGCACCATTACTATGTATACCTTGGGAAAAGTCAACATGAGCCTAGCATCAAAAGGAAAGAAACAAAAGCCTGTGGCACCGACATTGTGCTTATCTTTTGCCACCATCAGGTCACCCTGCACCAGTTGTATGATAAACTCATGTTCGGCAGTTCCCCAACCAAGTGACACGTGGTCGGCTTTGCGGCAGGCCCCAATCCTGTGGAAAGCAAGCACCTGTGACCTACCCATTGCCAACAGTTCAACAGTTTCACTCCCTGTCAGTTTACAAAAAGTCTTATTTGTTGTGGCCTGCGACCTTTTTGGCAACACTCAAGTTCCAACACTTGTGCTACCAAGCAACGCAGCTATACAAAATATCCCAGCGAAGGCCATAGCCCTCAATCAGACTAAGGCCCCAATCTGCATTGGGAGCTGTCCCTTGATAGCAATCCTCTGGATTCTCCTTGGCGAGGGCCAACATTGCCATCAAACTTCTTTCATCACAAAGATCCTGTGTGGTCCAAGGCGCAGGGTTTCGGCCACGAAGAATAAAATCAATGGGAGAGGAATCTGTCTCAGGATTTGGGGCCAGCAGGCCTCTTACCTGAGCGTAGTCTGTAGCGAGCTGTGCCTGAACAAAGATCCCATCCAGCAACCTACAGTAAGCTCTTTACGTTCTCCAAGATCACCAGCCGTGGCCTCCTCTCAGCAATGAATTTTCCTGCCCAAAAGACCGAGCAAAGTTCGTCTCACATGCGAACCCACAAGAAAATGTCACAATGCTCCGTGCATGGCAAGATGCTCTGACAATGCCGTACACCCATTCCATGAGAAAACACATCCAAGTGGCTCATTTCAAAGAAGGGCGCGGCTGCGGGCTCTGTGAAGCAGTTTCTTTTGAAGCGCTTTGGGTTGCAGAAGGAATACCTCAAGTGACTGGTGTTGTTGGCAAACTGCGGCTAGCTGTGCGCCGGCCACAACACAGAATGGTCCCTAGAATGTTGCAAATCTCGGAGGTAACAGGCTTTGTTCTGGCAAAATGATCGGCAAAGAGTGGTTGGAGGCCAGGGACATTTCCATATAGAATTGCCTCTAGTTTTTGAGTCCCTGCATGGGCTAGAGCAGAGAATATGGCCCAAAGCCAAGGTCCAAGGGGCGGTGTACATGGGAACCCTCCGATGAAGATATCAATTTCGCCGCTTGGAACTGTGCAGTGTCCACCATGGCGGGCACAGCGGCCACCACCTTCAACAGCGTGCAGGGTCGGTTCAACGCTGAGAATCATCGGTTAGGACCCCAATAGACACACCTTCTGAAAATTCTGCAAGAGCTTCAGGGTTCACCATGGTTCAAGGGCATGACCAACAGCCGAAAAGTAGATTCGTGCCTTTCATAACAAAGCACACGTCCTCAAACAAGTGTTGACAAGAACCTGCACGGGTCAGCATCGGTATTCAGGGTTGACCATCCACAACTCTTCTTGTTTACTCAAACTCTCAACTGACACGTACACTGATTTTACCAGTCAGCGGAGGCGCAATTCTTCAGGATGAAGCGCCGTGGGTTTTCGTTGATCTCCGACCCCCACATCTGCTCAAATCCTGGTGACGACAAGCATCACTCCCCGCAAGTCTTAAAATGGTCCAGTTGAAAAGACGTCAAGAGGGACTAAAGCCTCTGTGCCCCATCAACTGCTGTAAGGCGAAATGCGGAGCTTCTGCTCCAGAGCAACCCGTAGCAAGGCCTGAGTCGAAACGGAGTCTCCGTGCATCATACATCCACTCACCACCCACGCAACTTAAAGCCAGCACACGCAAAGGTCTGTCGGTGAAATCGAGCTGAACGTTGAGCAAGTCCTGCTGCTACATTAGGCAGTGGCGGCAATCAATATAAATATATATATATATGTGTGTGTGTGTTTACATCTTGAATGATTCAACATAGACATATTAATATGATCAAATTAGACATATAGGCTGTGCGTGCATTTGCACGAACTCGACAAGAAGGACAAAAATATTGACAATGGTTTGACAATGGCTTGTGTGCCCCAATAACCCGTGCACGGCCCGTGCAAGACCCTTTCTGCACATTTCTGCACAATCCCTCATGGAGCTTCCATCCTGTGCATATAGCCTAAGGCTGCACGCAACTGAGTTTCTGCACAAGAACCGCCCTTTGAGCCTTCATTCATCCTGTGCGCACAGCCTGCAGCTGTGTGCAATTGACTGGCACTGGCTCTCACTGCCACTCAACGGCAGCTATGTCGCCCACTGTTATCTCAAAATGTTGAGCTCCGGAAAGCTCAACAAGTGCATTTTGCCCAAAGTAGACATCCTGCTTGCGTCTCGGTTCGCTGAAAAACTCTTTGTGTAGCACAGCGGCTGGCAGTAGGACTTCGGCAGTTCGGAGGCTGCGCATGGTCTCCGTCAGGACTCCTCCAGTTTGCCTGTTGCGCTCACCAGTTTGCTGATCTACGCCTGGAACTGTGCATCTTGAACAGGGCTTCACGAGAGGCAGTCTCAAAGTCCTTGCCCCCAAAGAATAAACCAACGCGCGCATTTCATCTTCTTCGAAGGGCCTACAACCATCGACGTGTATGTTGGGACGGAAGCGGTCAATGCCAACTTGAGGCCCACCATCCCTGAGCACCTGGCTGGCCACACCGTGTCTAAAGTACAGTATTTAATTTAGTAGATGACATGAGCAATGATATTGGTAAGACCAATAATGACAAGCAAGCCAAAAAAGGGCGAGTTTGCAGTTGTACAGCCATGTGGCTGTGAATGGGAGAAAAAACACACCAAGCGACCTTCCGACTGATTTGTCGGATGGAGGCTGTAGAGCTGACTAGCACTGGGAAGCCGTCAGAAAAGGCTGTCTCACCAGCACCGTACTTGGGATCCGTAACTCGTTGGGCTGTCTCAGCGATCCTCACCTGTAAAATAACAAGCCCCACTGTCTTCAGTGTTTCACTCATGTTTGATCAGTGATTGCACTGTTTGATCCTGTAGATTCTGCCTGAGGTACAATACCGCTGTATGCCAAGTGGCCAAGCGTAACTTTGGAGTTTGAAGAACAGTGCAGAGCCACTGGGCAGCCGCATCACCTTGATCCACTGCTGGCACCCAATCGTCCCATACCTTCAACGAACAGGTTCGGTTTATAAAACTCACCGTTGTGCTACAGCAAATGCTGCAGCAACTCAAGCAACCAAAGCGTATGAAATGAGCCCTCCACTCAGCAAAGAGGCCTTGACATTCTTCGGGGTAGACTTCAATTCCACGGGCACCGTGAGTGGCTGTGCAGCGTCCGCGGCCGCTCGCAAGGTTATGCCACTCTCAGTCGGAAGGTCCTTGTGGTACAAAATTTCACTGATTTCCCGGGAGTCACTATGTGATCCAACAACTTTAAGACAGGTCACTGGGTGGATCAGCGCCATCCGAGGCAGGAGTCGCTGTGAAACAAACTCATTCTTCTCGTCCACAATCATGTATATCCTGGGGCCAGGGACAGTTTCACCCAAAGCTTCTTTTGCCTTGACACCTTGTCAGACTTCGTATATGCAACTTGTGGAACACCTGTCCTATCATTTTCCAGCCCCCACTTGGTCACCTTTGCTTTGGCGAGGCTGTGCCCACGGCAGCCCTTGATGGGGTAGACGTAAAGTGCAGCCACCGTGACTTGCTGACTGCGACGGGTGATCTTCCATCCGAGCCAAGCCAGGCCAGCAGCAACGCCAGCCCCAACAACACCTAGCCAAAGGCGAAGCCGCGGCGACACCCAAAGGGAAACCTCTGACTCGGACGGCATTGAGGCTCGAATGTCAATCCCTTCAGCTTTGGCCAGTGCTGCAGGAGTGAAGAGGGAAATCAAAAGACAAATTGTGCCCATAAAACTGTCAGCTGTTATTTATTAGGTATATGGTGCAACTGAAACAGTAATCCCAAACTACTGTGTGCAAAAGCCCATGTCTCAATGATCATCTATCTATCTATAGCAGTGCAAATGTTCTGGCCATGTCCTTCAAGCGTTGTGCCCAATCGGCAGAATGCCAACCATACCCAAGGCTCTCAGCACGACCTGCAGTCATGGCATGCTGTGACGAAAGAGACAAGGCAGCTCATCCACCGATGCTTTTGCTTGCCAAGGCTCCCATAAACCTCAGTGCAGGTCTCAAGCTCATTCCAGGGAGAGAAGTTGCCTGAGCTAACAGCCCCTCAGTTTTGCCAAGCCAAAAAAGCAAAGGCTTTCCATTGGGGAGAAGGCAGCAACTCAAGTCAACAGTGGAGACTGTAGCTCACTGCCAAACAGACAGAACTCTGCCTTAGCAGTTTAAGTTTAACATGTTCTGACTGCAGGTAGGATTGCAACACGCTTTTACAGACTGGATCCTAGCAAGGCCAAAATTGGGCCAAGCGTCTGATCCACTTTGGACCGGTTGCCTCCAGCATTTGCTTCAACAAATTCTCACGTCTGACGTCTCAGAAAGGGTGGGGTGGTTGGCTGTGCCACGAGGTAGCTAGAAAGCAGAAAGCGGCTGTGTCCTTTGAACTTCCAAGCGGCATGTCCCCACTAAGAGCTTCCAGACGCTGCTGCAAGAGCCCAGCTTCCTCACGGTTCGGCCGAGCACCGCCCACAAAGGCATGCAGTGCCTGCCTCCCGTCGAGAATTCAGAGCCAAAGCTTGCACAAAGCTCAAACGTGACAAAGGGATTGGGCAAAAAGAACTTCAGCCTGGCTTGCAGGTAGCCCAAGCGGATCGTGAGATCAGCTTTGGAAGGACCAAAGGCCTGAGACGAGTGATACAGTAATTAGATGCCAAGTTTTGAATCGAATGTGCCAAGAGCCACGCCTTCATTCGCGCATCCCATGAGCAAGCAACTTCGACTCGCACCTGTGGCACATCGCCTGGCATTGACAAAGCATGCAGAAAGTGGCACTGAGGCTAGAAGAATTCTACACCTGCTGAGTGAGGCCCATTCGACTGTCCATCCAGAAGTGGGCCCGAGCACAGAATGATTCAATGCTTCGCCATTGCTTCGCCATTCATTTCACTTTGCCTTGGCCATTGATGGCGCGCAGCGCTGCGTTGAGACAAGTCTCCACCTCCACCAGTGGCCAATGCAGTGGCACCTGCAAGTTGCTGGACACCGAAAACTGAGAGAGGCCTTTTATCCTCTTTGCCTTTGCCTGTTTTTAGGCTGGGGAGGGGGGGTAGGTCGTAGTAGTCTACTAGTAGCTCAACACGTAAGAGGAGTGAGCCAGTAAGCTAGGAAGCTACGACCAGGCTTGGGCGCACTCTTGGCGGGGGAAGCTTCCTTGAAAAAGACCACGCGCTATTCATTTGGCGCCTAGATTTTTAGGGAAACTTATACAACTCTCCACCCTCTTCTTTTCTTTCCTTCTTTCGTTCTTTCTTTTATCCATTCCTTCTTTCTTTCGTTCTTTCTTTGGATCTTTCTTTCTTTAGATCGTTCTTTCGTTGGATCTTTGGATCTTTGGATCTTTGGATCTTTCTTTCTTTCTTTCTTTCGGTCCGTCCGTCCTTCCTTCCTTCCGTCCTTCCTTCCGTCCTTCCTTCCATCCATCCGTCCGTCCGTCCATCCGTCCGTCCGTCCGTCCCTCCCTCCCTCCCTCCCTTCCTTCCTTCCTTCCTTCTGTCTCTGTCTCTCTCTCTCTCTCTGTGTGTCTGAGCGTGAGAGGAGTTCGTGCACCTGTGGCAAAGGACCACCAGCGTCCAAGCTGCACAGTACACCTCGACTGCATCCAGTTTATAGTTTCAAGTTTGTTTGCGATCACTGAAAGCCAGCATCTTGCCACTCCAAGGCGCTCTTCAAATAGCCACTCGCTTCTTGCCCCTCTTGGTGGAGCTGAGCAAGTGTTGCGGCTGCTATGAGCCGCGCTCCTACACCTTTGCAGGCACTACATTGCATAGAGTCCCGTTTCCTAGAGCTTGGATACACAAGGCTGTCAAGATGCGGGGTGCCAGTGTTCGTGCCATCGCTCGGAAGACATCCTTCTCAGAAGCAAACAGAGACATCCGCAAAGAATCCGCTAGAAACTGCAATCAACAACAGTAGCACCATGCATCCTCTGCACTTCGAAGGAGCACTGCTGGGTGAGGCCCTGGAATAATCCGCTCTACGGACTCCTTAAGACAGTCGAGTTGCAAATTCTGGTGATCTTTTCCTTTGGATGCCTTCAGTGAGGGGAGGTTCATATAGGTGCAATATGGTGCAACCGTTGTATGACGTAGCGGCTACACTGCTACACGTACTACGATAGTAAGTGATGATGACTGACAGCTGATTGCAGGATGGAACGCAATGCAAAAAATGTGCTCTCAGGCACTGGCCATCTCCACGGTTTTGGGAGCGCCACCAGGTCCAACACCTGCCAATCGCTCCAACTCATCCACGAGGAACTGCTGATCCTTGGGTCACAAACGAGCATGCAACAAATGACCTGACTTCGCACAGCTCATGAAAACTCCAACAAATAGAGTCCCACCCTGCCCAGCCATGCCCCACCTCACGGTTACAGCGTTTCAGGGACTCCTCCAGCTGGCACCGCGCTTCGTCTAAGCTGGTATGGCGAGTGGCAAGGCCTTATCTTCACAAACCGGGTTTCACCTAAAGGCGACTTGCTTCACCTTCTCGTCAGCATGTCAAGCTGAGGTCAGTTCAAAAAACCTCTTCCTTGAAGCGTGCATATTCACTGAGCCTTGGCACAAGAGGACAATGAAACATTACATTTATATACAGTAAATAGGTCTAAGTCTAAGTTGCACATTTGGTATCCTCAACACACCCGACTGCCGACAAGACACTGTCCTAGCAAGCCTCGGCCACACCTATAGGAAATGTATGCCACAAAGCGATCAAGGCACCTGCGTCTTGACATGGTCTTTGCAAACACTCATTCCGTCTTGATCTCTTAGCACTGACTATATCAGTGCTTGCTTAGTCTCTAGTGAGACCAGAACTCTTCAAACTCTGAGAAAGCATGAGAAAGCACCTTTCCTCTGCAGTGCGAAGGTGCTCTTTGCGCAGATAGGCGCGGAAAACGAAAAGCTGCTCCGAACACTGCCTCGTTGCCAAGCAGAAAACCTGTCTGCCTCATGCCTTGCCTAGCAGCCAACGTGGCCGGGGCATGGCCAAGAGATGTTGAGGTAAGCAAATAATTCCAAAATAGAGACATACAGCTGCAATGCAATAATGTCAATTTCGGAAAAAAAAACTATCAATGAAGCTTCGAAAAACGTGATTGTGCCAGAGGTGCTTGCCACATATGTCACAGGTCCACTTCGTGGTTCTTCCACCTCGTGCCACTGGAAGCATCTTAGTGGGATCTCCTCAGGTGCTGGCTCAATCTGAGATGCTCACTTGTCCAATCTCGACACAAGCGCCCGGCCAGAAAACCCCTGATGCTGGTTGGCCAAAGGAGGTGGTTGATGCAACTCCTACAAAGCCTAAGGCTATACGGCCCTACTACCTAAGGGCCTTAGGCTCCAACTTTCTTTATTGAGGGCGGAAATCAGGCAGCAAAAAAGTGCATAAATATGCCACAAAGGAAATGTCACAACGGGCAAACCCACATCCGAACCTTCCATTCTCTTAATTCTATCTGTCACCTCCAAGCACATACGTCGGGTGACGGGTCGTTGAAACACGCGGCCAAGCACGTTTGCTTCCGAACCGCTCGTCAACGGCCAAGTGAATTTTAAACTTCAAGCCGGAACCCTTGCTCGATCCTATCTGCACTCTGTAATGTGCGGGCTTCACAGTAATCTGTGGCATGCTGGAGCGCGTGTGGCACTGTGGCACTACAGTAATTTATCGGAGTGTTCTTTGGTTGATGCTTTCACCAAAACTCAGATTTTTGAACAAATCTCCAAACAAGTGGGATTCTTCTGGCCACCGTGGCCACAAGTACACCGAGCATTCTGAGCAAGTCACCAACACCGACAAATCACGCAAACAAAGTAAGGGCTTTTGCCGTGCTAAGTCTGCTAGGTTATGCGCAATGGAAATATCTATATATGTTCGCGATGCAATCACGGATAGCTTGACCAAGGAGCGTGTGAAGCGGCCACCATCTGTTTCTGCCACCCAGTTATACTTTGCTCGCGATACTTTGGCGATGGGCGATTGAGGGAAGGCCTTTCCTTTGAGACAGCAAGGGCTGGATTCAAATTGTGATCAATACTGCAAACAGAATACAAGTATATAAGAATGCAAGTATTCAAGTAGGTGTTTGAAGGCTCTTCCACTGCAACTCAAAAAAAAAGAAAAGCAAGTCAAAGAGACAAATGCTGTTAGGATTTGGAATCGAGCGTATCAGGACTTTTTAATGTTAACTTCTTAACGTTGTATTGCCAGTTCCCTTTGCTTGGACAGCATCTGGCAGCTCAAGCTGCCAGTAGGATTGGGAAGGCAGTTGAGAGACAGCTCAATCCTTCAAAAGGTAAAATGGTTTTAATAAAGGATGAGATGCGGATTTCATCACTTTGCGTCTCAAAAACTTCACCTTGTGCCAGCTCTTTGCCCTTTGCTACCAATCGAATGGGTGTCGGATCTTCTGCACCTCTCTGGTACCCAACCACTGCCTGTCACATTGCTATCAAATGGTGCACAGAAGCCTGAGAAACCTGCTAACAATTTAAACATATTTAAACAAAGAGATGAGAAAGAAGGTAAGGGCTCGTCTAGTCCCTTTGAAAGAGTGGCCCTTACCTTCTTCTTTTATCTCTTTTAAATCTGGTTGCTCTTGCTGCCAAACCTTGCACGGGAGTTAAGCTTCCCTAAAAATCTAGAAACCAAATCATTAGTGCAAGCGCTTCTTCAAGGAAGCTCCCAGCCCACAGGCAGGGGGGGCTTCCTTGAAGAAGCGTAAGCTTTCCTGCGTCCAGCTAGTAGAAGCTAAGAAGGAGCGATCTTCTCTCTTCCTTAATTAAGTAAGCACCTACTGAATTAAGTAGGAGCGGGCCGCAGGCTAAAACGAAATGAATAGAATGTCTTACTCAACAACACCCGGGTCTTTGGCGCACCTCTTCGAGGCTCATAGTTGGTGCCTGTCTCCTTCGCTGACCTTCTTGATCGCACACCAAGCGCCGATCCACAACTGCCAGGGCAAGAGCGGGAGAAACATGCGGGGAAACCTGCACAACCGCGCTCAAAAGGTACAATAGGTCTACCAAGCTCAGCCCAAAAGGAAAAAACAAAAACAGCTGTGTCCTACAATGTACAAATCACGGCCGCGCCCCGAAGAACTTGAACCCCGCCAAAGCCGCCAAAGGTCGACGACAATATGACCACAAGAACAGGTTTGATTTAGAAATGATCTCAGATGCGAAACGCTCTTGCAGTACAAGAATCCCCCTACGGAGCAACCCCGCAATGTCCCAACATCCGACCTGGTGCTGGAGCGGACGCTGGCGCTGGCGCCGAACGGCGATTAGACGCCTCCCTGGTCGCACCTTCACGGTGCGAATGTGTCAACCACAGACAGTCAGCCATCAAGTGTGGGTTGCAGCTACGTTCGTAGCTTCTTGTTACTAGTAGTAATGGCCTCCAACCCAATAGCGATGGCCTCCACCCTAGTAGCTTCTTGCTACTAGCAGTCAGCCATCAAGAAACTTCAAATCTCAATGCACCCTGCCTTTTCGAGGCCGACTGGGTTCCAAAAGCTCCGCTAGGAACAAATCCTCCACAGCGCCAACCTTGCCTTTGCCAAGCCACATCAAGCAATTCTGAAGGGGTGCCGTACTTCAGCTAGTCACAGGCCTGGGCCTGGGCTGGCTGCTTTGCCTTGCTTTGGCTTTGGGTCATTGGCACCTGCAACAAAAGCTAACAAAAGCTGGGGAGGCCAATAATTACAGTAACGTTCCTGCCCAGTGCACCTGCAGCTGCAGATCGCTTCTGCACCATTGCTGCACCGCTCTACGGGAAAGAGCCTTCATCCATTTGGATGATGGAACGCTGTCATGAACATGCATTCCGCATAGTCTCACTCATTTGGTGAGCGTTTTTGGAATGCATTGGTGTGGTCATTGCGGAATGGCAGTTGTTGCTTATTCACCACTCAATGGTCGGAAAGGACCTATCAGAAGGGGATACGGGATACCTGACAGCCTGGCAGTTAGCATACATTCACTGTAAACACTGACTGTATCACTCTCAGCTAGTTTCTGATCGAATTGAAGTGAAGAAGTGTCTCCCAACTCACCTGGACTGCCACATGCAACTGCTTTCTTTTGATATTTTCATATGTCTACGGACGTGCCATTGGCTTTGGGCCGAACCACAGAAGCAGGCATAAAAAGACCTTTCGGAATCAATGGCTGTGGAAGCTGCACGTTGAGGAGGCTCTTCAGAAGTCTTTCCGGACAGTTCACCAAACCACCGGGTCAACTACAAAAACATTTTCTCATTTGGATGGTCGTGGCTACTGTGCAATGGACCTCTGGCGTGTGCAATCGGTGATGTTCCCGACATCACCGAACCAATTTCTGAGGCCAGTGCCCCTTCGTGATGGTGGACCAAGAGCGCTTCAGGAAATTCCTCGCCTGCAATAGTGCCATAGCATATTATCATCTGCATACATACATGTATAGTAGTATATCTATATATATTATATATATATATATATATTATGTGCACATGTCATATGTCTCTAAATGATGTGCTTGCGCGATGCATGCAAAAATGTGCAGGTACTGGACTTGGCGTGGCTAGCTTTTCTAGGTAAGGTCCAAAACTATTCGCCACCATGCTTGGCCTCTGCCTCAAGCTTGTTCTCAGAGACTGCGTCTGCCCTCAAGCTCTGGCCGAAGAAGTGCAGTTGCTGAACCCGTAAAAGCGTCAACTTATGTGCATGCCAAGCATTTCCTGCTACAGAGCCCAAGGGTATTTAAGCTAAGCAAGCTGCTTCTTCCTCGGAAAGCTGCTATGTACATGGGACATGGCAGATCCAAGTCCTCAGTCTCAAACTGGCGCCGTGCAGCAAGCAGTTCGCGGGCTTCAGCACCTCGAGTAGAATCAAAGGAATTGAGCCGACCACTCATGGGCGATGGAAGGCAATATACAATGTCTGAAAGAATGAACACATTGGCACAAAGGAGGAATTGAAAAGTGTGGTGCTTGTATGCACCTACCGCATCGTAGAGGTATAAGATCAAATATGGAAGGATTTGTTGGTTGGATAGGATATGTGTGCATATTTCTGGGTATTACAAACTTCATGTCTTGTCATCACCAACAACTGCTGATTGAGACATTCACGTAGTTCTGCGAAAGCATCGCTCTTCACAAGCTCAGACCTGCAAACTCAAAGGCCACAGAAAATGAGAAGCAGTTCCCTTCTCACCTTCATAAGTCTTCCCCCTTCATTGGTCAAAACTTAAAACGCCGAAGACCCGGGAGGCCTAAACGCAGGGTCGGTACGCCGCCAACACAAGTCGACCGTACTCATGCTGTCCTGAAGAAACACCTCCATTTGCATTCCACAAAGACGTATAATCTAATCAAAAGTTGTTTCATCCGCGAGCCCAAGAAAAAAGGTCCGAATATAAATAGAATTACTGTTTCATCCTGTGTCCGGGATCAAATCACGCAGTAAAACAACCAAAAAAGAATATATATATATATATAACAACATGTTCTGTGTTCAACCCCTTCTGGCCCGCAGCCGCTGTGATCTGCAGGGCCGCATGAGAAGGGTAAATTTTGCATGGCATGTTTTGATGAGCGGGTGGGCTTGCTCTACTGTACAAGTTTTGAATGGGCATTTCAAGTTCTGGGGAGGCACGCGGCCTGAGTTTGTTTGAGGTAGTTCCATTGGCGGTTGTGGGGATGGCAGCTGCTCGCTTGGAAAAAATCAACATCTACAAAGGAGTGTTCGAAACACTTGCCTTAAGCTGCGGCCACTGATGTCATGGTTGTCGGCATCCTTGCGGGTCATCTTTGGCCCACGCACAAATGAGAGCATGGCTGCATCAAGTCACTCAGACATGTCGTAAGCGCAAAAATGTTTGGAGGACGCAGCTAGGGTGAAGCATTGTCGTTGGCACTCAATCCTCGCGCTTGTGCGCATGGACCGAAAATGGCAATGAGCTCAGGTCGTGTTCGCTCCACTTGGCTCATTGAACGTTGACTCTCCAGTCTTGAAGTTGTAGAAATAGATCTCCCCTTGGTTTTGACATGCTACCAGTGACTGCAGCATGAGAATGGCAAAACATGGCAGCAACCTGTTTGGTGTTTGTTTCTTGGTCTGTTGGCTTCGCCATGTCCATGTTAGAATCTGGATGAACCTAGTACAGTACAGCTCTACCCCAGCAGTTTCAGCAAATCCTGTAAAGTGCCTGTCCCGGATCCACAGTTGACAAAGCGGCCCGAAGTCTTGGATTTGATCCGAATCCAGTCTGGAGGCAATGGTTTCAGGTGACCGAAGAATCTATACTGTGCTTTGATCCTTGGAAGGAGCAGAGGCACTCGCGCTCCTGAAGAAAATGACGGCAAATTGTACTTTTGCAGCTTCGAAGCCACTCATCCTTCGATCTGGGCTCCTCTTGGGATGGCTCGACACTTGGAGTCTCAAGCTGTCGTTGTGCTGGCCGCTCTTCGGGTGGATCGCCCCACCGTTCCTCCTGGTAAAAGTGAAAAATTAAAAGAAACTGTAAAGTTTAAACTCTACCAATGTTTCGTGGAATCTTAAGATGCTCGAGCTGACACCTGCAAGTTTTGCAAAGAGCTTGGAAGAACATGGGGAAATGGTCTTTGTTGACATGGCGTGCCTCAGGCAAGCTTTCTTGGCCAGATATATGACCAAAATATGTCAGGGGTGCCCATACCCATCTATGCTCATATCGACCTGCCTGATCTGGTTTGCTTTCCTCTCTTTTCCGCTTTCGATCCTGCCACTTTCCTGCTCAGGGAACTGAGGATTCAGGTGATTCAGCCGGCCTATGAGGAGTGAACTACAGCACCACAATCCTTGGCCCCAATCGCTGCGGCTCCGCCAGTTAGAACCTGACCAAGTGGCACCTGAAAGCACCAAAAGAACCATGGCGGTATTGGTTCAGCAAGCTCATCGTTGGGAGACGCAGCATCATAAAGCACAAGTTTTCATTGCGCACACACAAACAAACCGCCGCCTTGGGCGCCTTGGCCCCAAGAATCCCCGTTGCTTGACCAATTCTGGCCTTGGCTCACAGAGGGTCATAATTTCGAACACTGACGTTGTTTTCCTGTTCACGTGTTCTTTATCCCCTTCCTGTGCACTGCACACCTCCCTCCCCCCATTGCCATCAGCTAACTCCAAGTTGAGTTACCCCAATCTGCGGCGCTCTTGCCGAATCTGTCCGGTGGCGTTCCCTTTTTCCCTGACAAAGATCAATCTCGGGATACGTTTCTGAGCGCCAGCAGAAGTCAGCTTCAGCTAAGAGCATTTGCGATGCCACCAGACTCGAGCAAAGAACCCAGCCTTCACCTTTGCCTGACCAGTGCGCTGTGGATTCGCCAATCCAACCCATCAGTTTGCCACATCTGCACAAGGAAAAGAAGCAGCAAGCACCGATGCGTGCCTTTACTTACTAGCCACCAGGCTTTTCCTTTGCCTAGCTCAACTTCTTCGTCTTCATCCTCCTCCTCCTCGTCCTCTTCCATGTTGCTCCTCTTTGTCTTTTTCTTTTCTTTGCCTGTGCCTTGGGACGAGCCGGGAAGGAGCCGTGAGACACTTCAGCAAGGGCAGTGTCACACAGTGTATCACATTTCTGAATGCCGGTCTGGAACTGGTCAGCAGTTCTACTACGTCTTCCTCCTGTTCTTCTTCCACCAACTCCTCTTCTTCTCCCTCCTCCACCTCAACCTAGTCTTCTGTGTATGCGGATTCCGCCAAAGGATTGGAACACAAAGCATTGTGCTGAAAATGGAGCAAGTCATAACAAAACAGCTGTGAGGAGTCGCTTTGGGACAGCGCCAATAGGCAACCTCCATGTTTCTATCTGCTGAACTGGCAGCGCTGTAGAGTGAGTGGTGGCGAGGTGGCGTGATGCTTGAGGGAAACTGTCAGATGGTGGGTTCAGACATTGTGGGAACAAACACGGCGCCTCTAGTGCACGGTAATCAGCGCAAGCGGATTCGGAGGATTCCTTTGCTCATTCTGACTTCCAGATATGGGTGCATTGGAGACCGTTTTTCTGCTGAACAGCTCAGCGCTCAACAATGACCCGGGGAGAAACAAAAGCCTTTGGCACTGCGTGGGCGTGGTCAAACTCTGAATCAGACTGACCACAAAGAAGGAACAGGTGCAAGTTGTAAGGCTGGCTTTGGCGACACGCGAACTCAGGGCTACTACAGCGCAAGAGTGGCCCAGCCTTGTTAAGTTAGCCATTTGTGCTCGTAAACTGAAGGTTTTACAGCAGCATTCTGCCCACTACAGCCTTTGACTTGGGAGAAACCCCCCACTCAGAAGGCAGGCAGACCTGACAGAAACTGCAACTGTCAGTGGGTCTGTCTCGGTGTGTCGGGCAGCAGGCAGGAACGAGAGTCTGCCACCAACGAAGACACGCTTTCCTGGTGCTACCGGGACTGATCATCCCAGCGTACCTGCCGTGATCACCTTTCAATTCCTTCTGGGCCCCTTTTCTAACTAGAACACCTTCGCCAGCCACCGCATCGGTTCGCCATCCCGCAGATGTGAGCGCAGTGGCAGTTACAAACCCTTTGTTGAACCATTCTTTTGCGCTGACTGATCACCATGCCGTTCTGCAGTAAACCACTGAAATTCATGTTCCTTCACCGGAACTTTGAGTCTAAGTGTGCGTGTGCGTGTTTGCCTTCAGCCTTGGGCACACTGAAGGTCCAACGTTCCCGTACAGAAGCGAATGACAAGCAAATAGCTAAATGGACGTACCAAAGCAATCAAGAGCGAGTGAACATGAAAGCAGAAAGAAAAAAATGAAAAAATTGAAAAGCAAAGACAGCAAGAAGGCCAGAGAAAAACTAGATACAACAAGTGAGGAAAAGAAGGGAAGTGCAGGCAAGAAGCTCAAAAAGGAATGGAAACGATCAATGGGAGGGATGAAGAGACAAATCTAATCAATATCATCCAAAGGCTCCTTGGGGTGGTACCTGGGGGTTGGTGGGAGCTGGGTGCGCGAGCAAAGCAAAGTACAGTCAGAACCCCCCCAGTGCAAAATTCCGCTGCTGTCGGGCTACCAAGTATATAGTAAACCGGCGCAATAATCAAAAAGAGAGAACCCAACCACACACCATCACTCGCCTCGACCTCTTCTTCATCTTCAACTGCTGGCTCCTGCACTGCAAGATTGGGCCTTCCTGCAGGACAGCATCAATGGCACGCAAAACTCAAATATGCACTGGGTCGGGCTCAAGAAGATGTGAATCCCACGAGCTATTTTTACCACAACCGTCTATTACAGTGAGACTCCCAGGCCTTTCCCTTCCGGCGTGCATTCGCCTGCACTGTGGAGTTTTCTGAATTACGAATCGATACAGCCTGGGAAAGGACATGTGATGACCTGAAGGCTGCTCGGTCAGCTTTGGAGAGTCTGCATTGAGCTGCTCGTGCTTGCCATGCTGCTCCTCAGTGAGCTGTTTGTTGTAGTGAGCCCAAGCTTGCTTTTCACCTTTTGAGTGCTGTATTGAAATTTTAGGACAATTCATGCCGCACACCTCCTTGATCAAACTGTGTACATCGTCTGACCTTGGCTGCCAGTCTTGGCATGCAGCCCGCAAGCCTATTGACAAACTAGTTGCAAGATAAGGGATCTTGCCATCCAAGCAGCCTTCGCACTGTTTTGGAAACTGCATCTTGGATGGTCGGGAGGCCTCCGCTCGAAAGCCCCAGGGTCCCCACAGTTGTGTCTGTCAGTTACACCAGCATCAACCCCAAACATCCCCAAACAACATCTATTCAATTCAGTTGGTTTGCTTTCAACAGCCATGGCATACACAAACACAAAACAAAACGTTATCTTGTCACAAAAAAAAGCATTGATACTGGGCAGAGTTTGGGATGTAGTAGGAGGGTGGTTTGAGCGTTGCCAATTTGCTTGTGTCCTCGTCAAGCTATTCCAAACGCCGGGCCTCAGTTTAATTTTCCTTTTGGTGAGGTTGGGATGTAGTTGTGGTTGTTTGGGGTGGCTATGATTCTGTAATTCTGTGTGTGTCAAACTCATCGCTCTTGGTCCATCACAACAGCAGCATAAATTTAGGTAAAATATTCTATTTATTCTTTTCCACAACATTTCCTTTTTTTGAGTGACTAATGTGGAGTGTCCCTGTCAAAAAAGATCGTGGCTGGCAAGTGCACGGATTGGCAAATAATCTAAACCTGTATCAGAAGAGTTTGCCTGGTAGTGGAGACTTTTCAGTAGCCTTTGTTTTCGAAGTCCTTGAGCTTACAAACGCGTGCAAAGTACCGGCAACAAATGTTGAAGGGCATGCGTGTCGTTATAGTTGTTTGTCAAGGATCAAATTTGCCGCTTGTTTTCTGCATCCCAACAGCCCTTCTTGCGAAGAGTGGAAATGGCAAGTAGAATGATATTGGATTCACGTAGAGCTCTCTGGCGTAGGTTTCGTGGTGTCAACTTTGTCCGCAAACCTTCACAACCACTGCTACTGAGTGAAGCTGATTGCCTTTGAAGACAGGCTGCAGCAGGGCAAAGGCTGCGCCGCGCATGCTCAGGAGGCCCTGGGCACAATAAACATCATCTCCAGCTTCTAATCAATATATAATCCACTCTCTGCAGGGCCTTGCATTCCTCGCCTACAGGATCCAAGGGTGATGTTGCCTCGCGTTGAACACGGTGGTATTGCAGCACAACCTGATATCAACATCTTGACCCCCAATGGCATGCAACTTGGCCAAGCTTTGGTGGTCCAACTTCTTGAACTTTGGCAGCCTCATCAGCCCCATCCACATTGTCCATAGCAGATGGTTCCCGGCACCATGGGAACCGCTCACCACACAGTAGGACGCCCTGTGAAAAGTGGTAAACGAGCTTGGAATCTGGAGAACGTTAGCTATATTGCTATATATGTATTTTTGTTGGCATTGTATTTTTTATAGTCTCTTATATTTCATGTATATATAAATATGTGTGTGTGCTTCTGTGCCCAGAGTCGCCAGCAGACTTTATGGTTGAAAGCAGTCGAGACTTGAACAACTTCTTGTGTAAAGATCTGACTGAGTCTCGATGCGACACTGCCCAGACTGGCCATGTGACTGATCAGACAAGAAAAGCTAAAAGCTGCTGTTTGATCAATCAATGCTGTCCAATTCTGTTCATTGCCGTCGCTCGTTGACAACTTACAGCGGACAACGGTTGCTCCATCAAGAAACGTCCTGAGCTTGGTAGAACGCTTCCAAAGCCGCTGCCGCCAGCACTGGGGACATCACCTGGAATTGCTTCACGCAACAGAACTGCAAATTCAAAAGCCGTTTCACACCCCAAAGGAGCTGTCTTAAAGCTGGGCTTGACCTGTGCAGAGGTAGGTCTCCACGCATTCCTTTCAATGCAGCGCATTTGAAAGCTAGAGCATGGAATGGAAGCAAGAGGCCTCCCGTGCAGCTGCTGAATGGCATCAAGTGCCTGTGGCGCTGATCGCTGAAAGTCCCAGGAGGGCCATATATGACTGACTGTCCAAACTCATCGAGACACCTGCTGCTGTGCGGTGGACGCTCGGGAAGAGCTATGCCTTAAGCTCGTCATCGGTGGGCCGCACGCATGCTACTTTAGCACCACGCATGTTTGGCACAAAAACCGTTGCGTGCCTGCAAGTGTCAAAAACTAGTGGTGCATAATCCATTCATGAGAAAATGCCAGGTCAAAACCATTTGGCAGCAAATCCAGGGTGCCAGTGCTCTGACCCATCTGGTGCTGCACGTGGCTTTGCAGGGACCTGGCAGGGGCAAGTGGTCAGGGTTTGAAAACGACGACACAAAAGCCGTGGACACCCCGAGACAGAGAAAGGATCATGGAGTTGCTGATGAAAACTGAGAGGCTTTGGCGGCTTTGGCGTCATGAAATCCGCCCAATCTAAACATAACAGCTGCCTAGTTCTACCACACTTTGCCACTCGCTTGGTAGCCCACTTCTTGGTCGGAGTAGTCAACTGGATCTTCCTGCGCCAAGACCTGCATGCACTGCAATGGAAGAAAACGCACGAATCACATTGTTGTGAGTTGGCCCATCCTCTGCGTTGTGGGTGCTGGGAGTAAACATGCTTGGTGAGTGGAACAAGCTTGACACATTTTGAATCTGCACATCCAGTGAAGAGTCATAGTTCGGGTACTTTAACCGAACCTTTCAAATGAACACCGGCCAACCAACTGGCGAAACAGTCAGCCTCGCCCCACAAGGACAAGATCTTGTCCGACTGACTAAATCCATCCTGTCATCTCCGACTAAAATATCAGCTTTCTAGTTTCCTGAATTTCTCGATCATTCTCTTCCAAGTGCTCTCATCTTCGATGTTCTCGCAAAAACCTTCCACGTTGCTACCGTTGGCCGTTGGCTCGCCATGCACTTGCCATGCACTTTACCATGAGCGGCACTGCAGCTGCACCTCGGTTGCTGTGCCTTTTCGTCTTTAATGCAGCCTCGAATGCGGATCTGGCGTACATTTAGCGCCGCTTCTGCTAGTGAACTGCTGGTCTGCTGACCCTCCTCTTCTTTCTCTTGCTCTCTCGTTTGGTCTTCCTCTTCTTGGAGCTGCTGCTGCCACACTCTTTCACACCAAGAAAGCCTCACGTCTGGATCGGAAACTTTCAAAAGCATTTCCACGTTACCACATTTGCAAAAAATAAAGTTTTCCAATTTCTGACCCCTACAGTCCTCGAACAGGAGGTTGCATTCAAAGGCGTCCGAAGTGGCACCAGTCGATGCAATTCAATCTCCGCTCGCAACGTCTGTGGCATCTATATAGTTTGCAGCGTGGCCTTTCCTTGAGCCACTTGACTGGGACTGCTTCTGAGATCCAGTCTGATCAGCTTTGAAAAGCCAAGGCTGCGTAGTCCAAATTCAAGCTATGCATTTGAGTATGCTGTTCCAGTGTTTCCCCACATTGTAGCCAAACATGTCCAGGAACCTCGGCTGCACTGCACCACAATCCAGTTTGGATGACTCAGGCCCCGCCTGGCTTCACAAGCAAAAACAAGAAAGCTATGACGGGCGAGGCGCTTGGAGTCACAGCGATACTTCTCTGAATGCATGCCTGAGCATCGGATCAGCTCCAGCAAGAACAGTATACTCAGTAAACCCAACAACGAGTTCCTTGCCTCCTTGCATGCCATTGCTCCTCTCTTTGGAGTGATGTCTGATGATGATGATGATGAGGTTTACATGATTTCCTGCCCCTGGCTAATAGTTGCTCCCACAAAGTTGTTGGAAAGGCACAATATCGCTGGAGGATCTCCTTCTTCTTCCGCAATTGATGAATTGCTTCCGCCGTTTGGCTCTGTTTCGCTGCTTGGCCATCCTGAAGGTCAAAAATCAGGACCCGCTTCATGAAAAGACAAAAAGCCGTCAGAGGACCGTGTTTCTCTCAAACGTTGAATGATTGAAACAGCAGCTCTGGGACTCTGGGAGGTGGTGCTTCTTCAGTGCCGTCGTTGCACTGGGCAAACCAGTCTTGCATTTGCGTGCTAGTATCTTCCACCTGAGTGTGTAGCAGTGATGATCAAAGGCCAGCCAGTTCACAACTCCATCTCTCCAGATTGATCGGAGTAGCCACCAGGTAATCCCCGGGTTGGAGTAGCACGTTCAAGCGTTCCATTACCATATCAAAATGATGATGTGCATCTTCAGATACCAACCTTGGTGGGACATGTCACTTCTTCTCCAGCTTGCAGATTTGCTAAAATCCACATAAGTTAGCTCACAAGCCAGCACCGGTGTCCAATTTGAATCCAAACAAGCGACCAAGGGTGAGGAAGTCGGGCTGCAAACTCATCGGTAAAAAGATCCTCCATGTGACTGGAAAGATTTATATATGTGCTACGCAACCTAATTAGTCTTCCTCCGCAAACCTAGAGTTTGAGCCGTGTCCAGCTTTCAGGGATCCAAGATTCAAAGGTGCAGATTCAACTTCGTGCTGTTGGGCTTGGGAACTCCCGCACCCCACCACCAAATAACCGTGGGGAAGAGCAGAAACAAGAACAGTGGTCCTTGAAGCACTCCGTGCTGCACTCCTGAGCGGGCCAACTGTCAAACATGCTCTTAAACGGCGCAACTCTATATACAAAAGTCAATCAAGTGCCTCTGTATTTTAGCACTGGAGGCAAGGAACGTGAAATTGGATCTTTGGATGCTGCCGGGCTCTGTGTCCTTGTTTGCTTCATTCAGGTACATGCAGAGATCTGACAACCCAAAATGATCAAGACCAGTTGCTGACATTTCGGAGCGTAATGTCCAAACTCACCTCACTATGCAAAAGCTCCATGACACTATCAAACAACACTAAAAGTACCCCCCTGAACTTTCGTGCACGGTTTCGTCTGCATGTTTGAGGTTCAGCTGGGCCCGTCTGCCCCAGCCTGTGTAATTCAATGCAGCCATGTTTTGAAAGCAAACTCAACATTAACAAGAATAAACTAAATCAACACACGAAAATCAAGAGGAGAACTATAATAACTATAAACTATAAACCGCGTATAACCGCGTGGTTTCTTTGGGAGGGGAGGAAGTTGGCCAGTATTGGGTTTCCAACTGGGACGTGAGGTTGCACATGAGATGACAATGACTAAACGATAGACCGGAGTGCTGTTTGACAAAGACAGGGGACCACCATGAACTTGAAAGAGTTCAGCCGCAGGTCACGGTAGTCCCCGAATAGAGGTTGGCAGGAGGAGGGGGAGAAGGGAAAGAAGACCGCCCATAAGCCTCGGTAAGTCTAAGTTCTTCGGGCCAGTCTGGTCGAGGGCGGCCAGGTCTGCAAGGGGTGAAGCAACAAAGATATTCAAGAGAGGGTTGATGGCGGAGGGCATGACCAATGAGCTGTATGTAACCTGTGGGTTGGGTGCCAGCTGAGAAGGCGTGAAAACATAATGGTCATGGGAGTTATATTATATTAATATACATATATACAAAGAGCACGGAGCTGCAGGTACTCATTTGAGCAAGAATCAAGGACCCCTGGAGAGTTCGATGATAATAAGAGGACTTGACACTAAAGATTTCAGGGGTGCGGAAAGGCAAAGTATCCAAAAGTACAAGTTCTGTTGGGGTGGGGGCAAAGCTTTCAATAGTCAAGAGAAAAAGAGATTGAACAACCGACTGGTAAACCAGTAGCCAGTAGGAGGTTGGGCTTGCAAAGGCAGCCTTAGAAAGGCGGCGTTTAACATGAGCGGAGGAAGAGCCAGCATCATTCAGCTGAGCGAGTACAGTATCGAGCTGAGCGTTCCTGGGCAACAAAATCAGGAAGGAAAATCGGATACGAAACAATGATGACAAGGACAGGAGGGAGCTGAAACAGGAAACAAAGAGATTCGTTCTTGAGAATGCAGGGCGATGTGTTCGCATTTGTCAAGGTTGAGCTCAAGACCAAAGTCCATTGCAAGGGTTTGCAATGAATGAAGGAGACGAGTAGCTGAGTAGCAGCAAGGGATGAGTGAGGCATAGCACAGTGTCATCAGCATCCAGCAGGTCTCACAAAGAGAGAGGACGATTTAAGACACCGGCGATTTGCGAGACATGTGGTTTGTAATTCGACGTGGTCAAAGAGCACAAACGTGTCAAGAATGAAAAAATACAGGGAGAGGGGATCAGCCCTGCTGCCACCCGCCGAGTTGGCAAGAAGTTTGGCAAAAATAACCATCGTCGCGAAGTTCAAAGGCTGGAGATGAGTAGAGAGAAATGATAGCGTTAGCGAGCGAGGGATTCTGGAACATTGAGCCAAGAAAGAAGTCAAAAGCTTTGGACCAATCAAGGAAACTGAGGAGATGTGGGAGATGGTGAACTCATGGGCTTGCAGGAGTTGCCTGATGATGTGGATAGGTTGGGACACGGATCGCCCGGCGCGAAAGCCAAATTGGGTAGGGCCAAGAAACTGTTCCGCAACAAGCTGGAGGCGGGAACGGAGAATCGAAGAATAAAGTCTATAGTCGTCATCCGAAAACAAAGGCACCAAACGTCAGATTCAAGGAGAGGTTTGCCACAGTTGTGCCAAACTTTGTGATGCAAATACTGGTCGAAGGATTGTGTTTGGGCTGGAGTCGGGATATCCTTAAAGTGACGACGAAGGCGCTGGAGGGTGCACCATTGTTGAGCAGGGTGAGAGCGAGACTGAGAATGGGTAAGGAGAGAGAAAGCAGCATGGCGCTTTTTAAATATCTATCTATCACGTGTGAGGAATTTTTTGACGTGCTTTGATTCCACTCCAAAATTCGGCTTTTGTGTCAGGCGTGTTGAGAGTGGTAAGGCGCTGCCAGCGTCCCCAAGTAGTGGAAGAAATACAGGTCTGTCGTCCCAAGGTGGCTGCAAAACTTGGGGTTGAAAGTCCAAAAAATGTTGCTGTACGGTGTCTAAGGGCCACTGTTTGAAACTTCTCCCCCACGAGCATCTCTGCAAAATCGGCGAAGAAGAGCCTTAATTTGCAAACAAAAAAACTTTTGGAGTAACACTCTCAGTGCTCTTGCTTTCAAGAAGCGCACTTCCACCAGCCCAGGAGCCAATATCAACAATAGTCCGCGGCTTCACCTCCTCGATCCTACAGCATCAAATCACACTGATAATAGTCTGGTGAGCTATGCTGTGCACCAAGCGTATCCAACATCAGTATACCGTATACCTTAATGGGGCCATGCAGCATCCAAGTGCAACTCAGACTCAAACTTGCATACATCTGCCAATCAAACGCGCTCTTTCCTTGTGCACAACGGAATTCACCGCAAATACTCCAGAACGACAACAAGAGTCCAAATGTCAAAACACAAGCCAAGAGTCCAAAAGGAACTGTTTTCCAAGTACTCCGTGCCTGTAGCACAAACGTGTCAAAGGCCAACCCCTGTTCCAACCTTGAGGTACACTCCTGTCTTGGTTTAACCTATCAAACAACATCAGCATGTGCTCTACCATTGCGAACGGGAGCTGAAAGGAGTTGAGTCGGACGGTCTTTGGGGGGCCCCTAGTGCAAGACACGCCCATCGTCCATCTTGGTGCCCAAACCCCAAGCCTGCCCAATATAGAGTGCCTCCATTGTGTCAAGGGTCATGTCGGTGTCTTCCTTGGCTCAGAAACTAGTCCCTAATGCCTTTTAGCAAGTTGGTCCACATAACTGCAACATACATTCCCGAAAATGTGTCCTCACGGTCGGACATCTTGAGGAAACGCTCCTGAAACTTGTTCAAGCCCGTTGACGCTGCAGCGAAGGCTTATATAAGAAACACAACTCTGCTTGTGTTCACCTTTCCAGCTGTGCACAAAATTCTTGCCTCCTGCTTGCCTTGGACTGCTGCTTCTACCCTTGCAGCTATGTCCTGCTCAACACTCCAGTCTTTCAACAAATGTCAAACTCACCAGACCCTGGTTGACCACTTCAACATGAACAAAATGGACTGCTGGCCCTTGACCTTTTTTTCCCTGTGTACATGCTTCTCCGTGATAATTTGTGCAGCTCCTCGTGGCGAGCCTCATTGGCTTCTTCTGATCGAAGGCGCTTGCGCTCCATCAGCAACCGTCACAGCATTGCCAAGTGCCCTTCAACTAATTGGCCAAAAGCAGCGCTGACCAAGCTTGGTTCAAAAAGGCTTGGTTTCAATGCGCACCCACACTAAGTCACTAAGTGACAAGCCCACAACACCAATTTTAGCAGCAATTTGACCAAACAAGTATGCTGAAGGTTGAAGGGAGAGAGAGCTGGCGCCTTCGAGATATCACCCAAGGCTCGGCCGCCACCTCTTCGCAGAAGCTTCCTCAACCTGAGCACACGACCATGTCCAAAACTCACACATAGGGTAATCAAAACTATTCTTACTCAACATATTAGATAAGTTTGTTAATTATAAAGAAAGTTTGACGCCCCGAAGGTGTGTTCTGCATGTATGATGAAATCTCAAGTAATTTGCTCCTGTGTATATAAATGTAAGCGGGCCTCCTTGACTTTCCTCCTCGCATACAGGTCCAGCTCCAGTGCGCCAGCCTAAGACACTTGGCTGACTTGAAGTTGTTGACTCGAAGTGATGCGAAGCGAAGCAGAAGCAGCTTCTCGCCTTGTCACCACCACGCACGGGCAGCCAATCAGCCTTTGCAAGTTCTCAACATGTGTTGCTGAACGAAAGAGTTCTCAAGGGTTTGCGCGGACCAACAAATTGACACTTATCAAGAAATATCCTGCCTTTTGCGAACCAACCCCTTTGGCCCCTGGCAAATTTTGCCGATGATGCTCTTTCCATGAAGGACTTCGAAACAACTCTGCATGGTTTTGCCTGACCTTGGCGAAGGGCATCGAAGACAAGCAAAAGACCCCGATTTCCAGTGTGTGGCCTGAGTTTCTAGCCTGTAGTTTGCAAAGCTGTAGAAACTCCATCATCAAACAGTGGCTTGGCACATGTTTTTCGAAGAAGTCATGAATCACATCGAATTTATATAGCCAATTTAGCTTTCGTGTCACAAGGATTCGACGCAATGAGGGGCAAGCATGGACGCTATTGCAATGAGTGCACTGTGGGCATGCGCATGAATGAGCAGTCTGTGGGCCTGTGGGTGGCATTCTTTCATGTGGGATGTTCCCAGTGGAAGGATCTCCCGACTGAGCCCTACTGACCCTCCTTGCTGTCCTGGCGCAGCCACAAGTTAACACGAACAACTTGAGCAGCAAACTACAACATGGCAGCAAAAAAATGCAATGTCTAAGCACTTCAATCACCAAAACACAAACATGCCCGTGCGTACAGCTTATTGAATGAGTTTGAACGCGATCATTCAACCTTCCCAGAAACAGAACTGTCGGAAGCTGAAAGTTTCATTTGCTGAAACTGGGAACTTTAACTAGAGACAAACCATAGGGCATAAATGCGTTGAAGAAAACCTACATCTACCTACGACCTTGGTGAGAAGAGTAGGTTGTGCATGTATTTTGATTGTCTTTGCCCGTCTGCTCCGCCGCATGGCCCATTTTGTGAAAACCAGCAATCGGAGGGCATGAAACCTGTGAAGTGTTTGGCGGTCAAATGTGTAAAGAACTCTGGTTATAACAGCCATCAAATGTTTGAGCAAGTGCTGATGGCCGGTATGCCATACAGCCTTCATCTTCGGCACCATCTTCCGCAGCGGGATCGCAGCAGAATGTGATGGGCATGACTTCATGATGTTCAAAGCGCAAGCTTGAGGCCACTGTTCCAAGCTGTAGCATGTGCTGGGTGTCACTCGTCTGCCTTGACCCACCGGACATCTAACCTTGGGATGCAACAGCCGGAGCTGGCACAAAGGTGGAACGGCAACCGGTCCAGTAGGACCGACGTGGTCTGTGACTTGTTGTGCTTGGAAAACATCACATAAATGGTCGAGAGGCTCACAACCTGATTCAATGACCATGCCTTGTTCTGGGCACACTCCAAACGATCCACACGCAGTATCAAAGCAACTTGTGACTAGTGACCAGTGAACTTGCTACCAGTTGCGGAACTAAATGGAAAGTTCCCTCAACACTGCACTCTTGGCATGCCAAGAAGCTTGCAACTGGGCAGCGTTTTTTCACGGCTTCTGAAATGGCACGGATTTGACTCGCGTTCGCATCACTGTAGACCTTGCTCTTCAGAAACCGCATTTCGGGGCCAAACTGACAGACTCTGAGTGATTGATCACAAATTCGGACTAGACACATGTGCGGTGCCCCAAATCCTGCGCTCACAACTCTTCAGCAAAAACATCGGTGCAACTTTCTTCCTACTAGAAGCGATGCCAGGAGCCCCTAGTAGCTTCTTGCTACTAGTAGCGATGCCACAACCAGGTTTTGAAACTCTTAGAGTGGACCGTGTGACTTTACAGCACTTCTCATGCAGTTTTGGAAATCGCAGCCTCTGCAATCTGCTTGGCTGTAGTGGGTGTTGGTCAATGGGGCCGGCTAAGCTTCCCCATTCATCGCGTTCGGCATGAAGTTCAAACCTGGTTGGGCGGGTCGTCTTGTTTATATATACAAATTTGTGCATCACAGGGTTAGTCATTAGTCCTGGCCGTTTTAGCGGCCACCACACTGGAATCCAAGTTGCGTCATCAACACCAAGAAACTGAATGCGCCGGATCGGAGGCACCCGCATCTTCATAGCAACAAATTTGGCTGTAGCTTGTTCACAACCGACCAAAGCTGCCAACAAAAGCTGCACCTTGGTTTCCGCAAAGCTCCAATGTGCAGGTGCACCGACCTACGGACATAAAGCAAACAAGTAAGCTAAGCGAAGCTAAGGTAAGCACTGGCTGTGGGGCTGTGCCGGAGCCTTGCACTATCTCCACCGCAACATCCTTGCTCTACTGGCTGCAACATCACTTCCATGAGCCGCACCTCCTGTAGATTTTGGAGTGTCTGATTCAATGCTGTAGCCGTCATCTGTCAGGGTCACTGTTTTGCATCCAGCCCCTTCCGCTGTGAGATTGTAGCCTTGCGTCTCAGCACTGCGCGAAAGTACTGTGTGGACGAATGCGCCCAAACAAGTGCCCACACATGCCACCATCTCACTCAGGACAGAACGTTTCCAACGCGGCCGTTGCACAAATGAGGATGATGACCGGAAGAGAAAACCAATTGCCCCTCGGTTGCCGGTCAACACAAAAATGCACAATGTGAAGAAGAAATGTGTTTCATGCTCGCTGCAAAGTACCTCTCGGAAGCCACGCGTGGACGAAAAACGGTGGCAAATGTGTAGTTGTTCATTCTTGGTCTTGTTGTCATGTCCAAAAGAACCTTTGATGTAAACATGTTTGCAAAGCCCTGTGCCATACAAACCTGTCGGCCTGGTTTTGTTGTCTGTCTGGCTTGTGTTCATCTCTTCGTCGTGCATGCCAGTTTGAACACGATTGGTCCGCAAGCGCAGGCCATTCAATCGGCCAAACACGGGCCCTGCCGCGCCCACATGACAACACATTGCGATGCAAAATGTTATTTTATTCCAGTGGGAACAGGCACGGACCAAGCAAACAGTTGGTGTCAAATATAATATAGGAGTTGCGTGGGACAAATGAGAATGAAATCCGGTTGCAAGGCTGGAGTAAAAAACACGGGCAAGGCAGGGCGCTGGCAATTGTCTTAAACAAATTGTAAACACAACAAGTTTTTTTGTTTCAGGCCATAGTCTGTGCGAAAACAATCGTAAGAAGTATTTTCTCCTTGTAATGGGGGCATATGCTATGTGAGACCTATGCTTTTATCGCAGGCCCTTCAACGAATTCCGCAAACTTGAAGGGCCACCCAACTTGAAGCTGTTCGTTGACAATGCAACGTTGTGGGCGCATGGGCGGCGACGCTACAGCAATTCAAGAACATTCGCATTCGGGCACACGGGGGCGTGGACGGCTGCTTCGATTGGAATGGTCACGGCCACAACCCAGCATGGTGCATCACATGTGGACCAATCAGACTGTTACTTTCATGTTGTTTGCCTCTGTCTTTTTCTCTCGCGCGAGGCAAGTCGGTCTGGGGTTGGTCCGGTGTCGCACTCACAGCTTCTGCTGACCAAGCGCCGGGCCGCTTGGATTTTGGAAGGGCGGCTAAAAGTCTAGAGCCGAAGGGGCCATCTCAGGGTCAAAGAGGAAGGCGGGATGCTGGGGGTAGGGTGGCGAAAGGGGTTTCTGCCAGGATTTGGCTCAGAGGGGGAATGTTGCCACCGACATTGTTGTGGTGAGAAAGGTGAAGGTGGCTGCAAAAATTTGCATTGCTGCATGGTTCATCATTGCTGACCACCGTGACACCAGGGCTGTTTGGACCGATTTTTGTAGGATGGCTGGGGCGTGTCTGGCCCTGGAGTTGGCAAGGGGCCGGACGAAGTTGGCCGCTTCCTGGCCCCACCGGCCTCTTACTTCGATCGCCAAAACGACGAGCTTGCACTGTCGAGAGTTGAGCAATTCTGGGTAAATTCTCTCTTTGCTCTTTCTGGCTGGTTGCCCTTCCCGGGTTTGGGGAGAGCAAATGGATCAGGGTTGTTGCCACTGTAAAGCCGTGTTCCGAACCAAATTGGGCCGTCATGTCGGGGGGAACCGAAGTTGGTAGTTTTTTTCCCCAAACTTTTCTCGCGCTGACAGTCGGGGAGCGAGAAGCCACGACGCAAGAGCACGGCAAGTCCAAGTGCCTTAGGCTGGGGAATGCCAAGAGAGACGACTGGGATGTGGGGCGGGAGCAACCCCCGTGAGGGTGTCACTGAGCAAGGGGCAAGGGCCATCAACATTTGTGGAAGATGAACCCGGAAGGTGAAGTAGGCTGCACGCAAATGATCTCATGGCAGCTGCTGCCGGTAGGGCTGCCCATCGTGAAGTCCATGCGTGTTGGGCTGCCTTGCGGAGCAAAGGGTTGGTATCTCTGGCTCGGTGCTGGGCCAACATTCTGATGAAGGTGGCAGCTTCTTCGCTCCAACACCCGCCCAATTCCATCGCAAACACAACAAGGCGTGCTCTTCCTCCCTGTGTCAACTCTGGGTATGTTCTGGCTTTGCTTCTGCGGGCAATCCGGAGGGCTGCTCCGGCAGTGGCACTGTTGGATCGGCGAACCTGGGAGGAAGCTGTGAGAGGGGACACCAGGGTCGTGTCCACAGCGAGTTGTGCTCCGTGCCAAAATGGCAAAGCGTTCGCGATCACCTCAATTCGGCGTTCGTCAGTTCGGCGCGTAGTCGTGTTGAGGTCCCTCGCGAGGACGTTGGTGCTCACTGCTGCACCGGCTTCCCTGCACACTCTTGCCATTGCTTTTTCCAAGGCCATCCGTCGCGTGCGAAGGGCACCGGAATGGGGGCAAGCGGCTCTGTGGTCCCCAAGCTGGTCATGTGGGCGATGGCACCGGCACCTTGCTGTTGTGTGCGGCAATGGCAGACGGAGACGCCGGAGAAGCAACACCCGGAAATGAGCTGGTTCGAAGGTCAGCTCAGGGGATGTGGGCAGGAGTGTGAACGTTCGAGAGGCATGGGGGCCACGTTGTGATTCCAGGAGGGCTTGGCCTGCAGGGTCGGCTGATGCTTCGACGAAGTTGGCGTATGCTTGGTCGATCACCTTTGAAGCTGCTTGTTGCCATCTTCGGAGTTGCTGTGGCAATTCTGCTTGTGTGGGTGGGCCAGGTGGGGCGCACTCTGCCCAGGCCGGTGCTTCGAGGCCGAGGTTGCGCAGAAACTCCTGCACGTGTTGGAGGCATTGGATCGAGGGCGTTGCAGAGTCTACAGGAGTGGTCAATTGTTCCGTGATGTGTGTGAACAGGTTGGGTGACTTGCGCTGGATGATGGGGGCCACATCATGCCACGATGCCCAGTATGCTGCTGCTGTGTGGTGGTGGGCACTGCGGAGGCCGAGCCCTCCCTGGTCGAGGGCGAGGTGTGCTCTGTGGCTGGCGTGCTCGGGTAAGGCGCCGTGCTGGTGGTCGAGTAGCTGCGCTAAGCAGGCGAGGACCGCAGCGTCGTGTGCTGTGGCATAGGTGCCTGTGAGGTCGGGGCGGATGCCTCGCAAGGCGTAGTGTGCGCGGGGGGACGCACAGTACAGGAGGAGCAGCCAACTGGTCTGTAGGTCTGGGAGGGTGGTGAGTGCATTCAGCAGTGGCTGGTGTGCTGCTGTCATGTTGTTCAACTCTGTTTGCACGTAGGTGGGGGTGCCCAGCGGGAGGCCAAGGACTCTGAGACCGCGTTTGTTGCTAGGCAGTGCCGTGTCCCCGACCCAAACCGGGGTTGGGGGCATCCTGGCTGAGGCTGCGGATGTTGGCGGGTTCTTCCCCGGATGCGTTCCAAATTTGGGTTTTGCCATGGTGGAGTTGGATGTGAGTATGTTGGAGCAGATTGGCAGATGGGCGGAAAGGCTGTCGAACAGGGGCGGATGCGGGGTGGTGGTGCAGTGATGTAGATGTCGTCCAAAAAGGCCATGACGCGCTCTCCGGGAAGGAGGTCTGCTTGGAAAGCCCGCAGAGCGAAGTCCAAAGCCAAAGAGAACAGGGCTGGCATGAGGGGGTCGCCCTGTTCGCCGCCCTCGGCTTGGGTGATGGGATGGGTTTGGCCATGGTCGTCTGAGTCGTCTGTCCAGAGGTAGGTAGAAGGTTGGCTGTAGAACAAACGCGCGAACGGCAGTGCTGCTTGTGCATGTGGTGTGTTGGCACTGTTGGCCAATCCTCGGAGCATTGCAGTGCGGCTGACATGGTCGTATGCTCCGATGCCGTCGACCGATAGCACTGTTTGTAAGTGATCTGCTTCGGTGGTGAGTTGCAAAGTGTGGAACAGGGCCTCGGTCCCTGCCCGGGTCGAAAGTGCGTATTGGTGGGGGTGGCACGCCGCTTCGAAGTCTGTCGCGTAGTGCTGTGCCAAGCTGCGGGCCACCAGGCGGCGGAGGAAGTCACCCACGACGAGGCCACGGACTCCGCCGGAAGCTTTTCGGATAGCGACCATGCGGCCCAGGCCGATGGCTGCTGCTATTGTGGCTGGGATGTCTGCTGTGGCAAGGCGGTGGCACACTTGTTGGAAAGAGTGGCTGGCTGCGGCGTCGTCCAACAACAGTTTGGCAATTTCTGCTGTGAGGCCGCTTGGTCCAGGTGCTGCTCCTTTCTTAGCCCGGGCCAAGTTGGTGAGGAAGAGTTGGGCCGGGATGGCTGCCGGTGTGGCTGGGTTCCATTGCAACAGGTCTGTGTCTATGGCTTGGTATGCCTGTTGGGGTCTTGCTGTTGGATCTGTGAGGCGCTGGTGGGTGGCCTCATCTCCGGGCGCCAGGGGTTCGGCCAGCAGCGCCTGGCGTGCGCGGGATAGTTCCCCGAGGCGGGTTAAGTGGATTGCCCGTTGAGCTCTGGCGTCTTCGTTCGGGTTGGTTGGGTGCTGGTTGGTACGCCGTGCTTGGCGTTGATTTGCGCTGCTGTTGCCTGTGAAGAACTGTGTGAAGCGGTTGAGCAACTCTGGTTTGGGGACTCGCTGTGTGCCGGCGGGGCGGTGGAGCAGGAGGCGCGGTAAGAAAAGCCAAAGTTTCCACGCACGTTCCCGCATGTCATCCGTGCTGGCCGAATTGATCTGACCCAGTGCGAAGTGAAGAGCACGCCGAAGTGGCCCCCGTAAGAACGGTGGAGGTGTGCGGAACATGATGCAAGGCTCCGAAAGGAAAGCGGTGGCCGGAAGTGGGTCGAGACGGGCTAAGGCTTCCCGAAGCCGGCGGCCGTGGATCATGGGTTGTGTGGGGTGGTTGTGAGGCTCAGTGGCGGCGACTGTGCGGGGGGCATTCGCGGCCTCGGTGGTTTCGGTGGCTGGATGAGCTACCGCGGGGCCGCCATGTTCAGGGTCACTCGTTGCGGAGCTAGTGGAGGATGTGCTTGTGTCGTCATCAGAACGGGAACTGGGCGGGCTGGGGCTCAGGTCGGGTTCTGGGTTGGCTGCTTGTGCCCCGGTGCCTTCTGGCGGCGTTCGTTCGGGGAGTGTGTGCTGCAATGCCGGGCCTGCAGGTCGCGCATCTGCGTGCACCGCTGGTGTTGGTAAGTGGGGGGCCCGTGGTCGGTCAGTAGCTGTGTTCGCTGTGGGTGTTTGCCATTGTTCGGCGAGGGTGGCTGCAGCCGAAGCCTGCCGTTCTCCGAAGAATGCTTGCAAGAGTGCTTCTTGTGCCGTCGCCGGGATGTATCATCCTGGTTGTTGGGACAAAGTCACGGCCCATGGCAAGTGGATGAGTGCCCCTGGGGGTTGCTGTTCCCCAGCTGACCTGAGGGTATCGGGAAGGGTGCGTTCCCCGGGTGGCAGCATTTGTCCCGTGTCTTGGGCCACCTGCTGGAGAACCGTGAGGATGTGGTGCAGGTGTTGCCAAGGTATGGGCTGTGCGCGCTCTAGTTGTTCAACGAGCCGGTGCCACTGTGCGCCTGTATTCGGGTAGGAAAGCCATTGTTGCGCAGTGTCTGGATGCAGCCGGCCTGTTGCTGCGAGCAGGAGCGGCACGTAGAACCAACTGTGTGTTTGTGGTGGGTTGGTGTGAGGTGCCAGGGGCCCACGGTGTGCCCACAAGTTGTTGGTGGTCGTTGGTGTTTGTTGGGGAGGCTGTCCGGCCGGTGGTGCTTGGCCATGTGGTGCGGGTGGCTCTGGCGGTGCTGCGCCCGGGGCGGGGCCTGCTGCGGCGGTCGTCTGGGGAGGTGCCGGCTGTTGCTGTTGCAGTGCTGGAGCGGCCGGTGCGGCATCCCTTGTCTCCTGTGGTGGCTGGATGCGTTGCGGCATGCATTGTCGGACTTGGGCCGGGGCTGCGTGGGAGGTGCAGACCCATCCTCGCTCTCGTGTGTGCAGATCGATTGCCAAAGTCCTGGGGCCGTGTTGGGGGCAGCACGGTTGTGGTGAGAGTGTTTGTAAAAGTTCGTGTTGTGGGGTGATTGTGTTGTTGCACCGG